CAATTACGGCCCCGCGAACCGTGGACGCGGATCCACGGTATTCTCTCGCGGCTTTTCCGCCGCGCCCCGCGGCGACCGAGAGCGTTCCGCAGCACCCGCTACCTGACGTTGGCTAACGGAATCAAAAGACGATCCGCCGGCCCCCGATCTACCTTCGGGCCACTTTTGTCCCTCCAGCCCGCTTCACCTCCGCCGCTCATTTCGCTACGCGACCGAGCAATTTCCGACCGTGAAGTAATTACGGCGGGCAGTCGATTCGGATGGTGGGAAGGGCGAACGTCGCAATCGAACCCATCGATCAAACGGTTTAATAAGTCGCCAGTTATTAGTTTCTCTTTTTTTCGGTATTTTTCTCGGTTTCCGAAAGTTCCATGAATTGATTTGGAACGGTGTTTGATGAATGATTACTGTGAAGGGAGAAATTTTTTAGAGGAGTGGTGGATTTGATTCATTCGATTACGTTTACTTTCGATAAGTGGTAATTGACCTTGATTATTTGATTAATTTCTTCCTTATGTATCGTGTATTATTGTAATTTGCAAAGAATCGGTGTAATATATTGTTTCACTTATGAATTTTCGTAATTGTAAGTGCAAAGAGGTATTGATTTTATAAATTTCTAGGATCATGTCGTGATACGAGAAAATGAACTTTAGGAATGATATTAATTCCATACTTTTTACCACGTCTTAATGAGATTCACGCAAGCCTTTTGTCATCTTCTTAAACGTTCAGTGTATTCAAGATACATCCGAGGCGCACGAACTCCAAGCTCGAATTCAATGATTAAATATTTGTAGAAAGACGGTCGTTCCCGTTTTTTGTGTAACATCGCTTCGAACACCTTCCAATAAACACACGCTCACCGTAATCACTATTCTAGACGAAGTAATGGAACGCTCGGGGCTCGCGTAATTTCTGTTATTCGCATAAACGCGCTCTCCGCCGCATCAACTCCTTCCGACAGCAGAAATTGACTTTCCTTCTCGGCTGTCAAACGCTGCCTCTTACTTTTTGCAGACAAACCAGGGAAGTCGGTTTAAAACTCTTCAATAGCAAATAAAACCTCAAGTTGCACCTGCTGGAAACTTCTCTAATGAACCTCTCGGCTGGATCGAATCTATTCAAGATATCTCATCCGCATAATAGACTCTACTTTCTGGAAAGCACGCCTAACGTCCTCTAAATAACAGAATCAATATACTCTGAAACAGATCCTTAAGCCTAAAATCCTTACACTACGAATCTTCATGAAATAACCTCAAAACACTGCAATTAATCCCCACATACTCTTTAAATAATCAATACTCGCTCGTCTCTTGTTACATTAACACAAACATGTATCAAATTTGTGAACGCAGAACTCTACAAATCTGTAACGTCCAAAAATTCCATAAATTTCGTGAATCTACAGACTCCGTGCAACCTACACCACAGCAAACCCCCAAGATTCGCAATTGAATCACGCCCAAGCCACGATACGATAATTCACTCGTCCAAGCTCGAAGCACCTAAAAGCCAACAGCGATCGAACCGTAGGAAAAACCGCGCGTAAATCCGCGGGACGAAAACGGGAGCACAAAACGCGACGGCGGCCCGCGCTTAATGGCTGAGTGAGTAATGGATCCGCGCGTTCCCTGTTTACAGCAAGGGAAGGCGGTAAACTGTGCCAGCCTGGTCTCGTTAAGACATTTCGTACAGTTTTCTTGTTTGCGTGGCGCTCCCGCGTATCATCCTGTTCGCTCGGCGTAATTATTTGCTCGTAGGCAGCGCCGGTAAATGGAGCGGAAGGTGTTAGTCGTGGGACGCGCTGCGTTGCGCCGCGCCGCGAGCCCGCGGATCGCTGCACGGAAGACCAGGATGGCCGTTAATCACGCAGGGTCGGCCCCGTTGGTGCACCGTTGCCCGATACCTACGACTTCTCCCCTGGTGTCCTTTACCCGTCGCGTGGGCGGACGTCCGCGTTTCACGCGCGCAACGAATCGCGGCTCCTCGTGCGCGCGTAGCGGGAGACGACGTCCGCCATCGACAGACCGTTACGGATCGTCGACAGATGTTCCCGGTGATGTCACTGCGAGATCGCGTGTCGATTACGGTTGGGTTTCTATTAGCTGGAACCGATAGGCGGGGAGAGGATGCTGCGAGACACGCGGAAGAGTTTAATCAGGATCGCCACGCGAGATTAGAACCGCTTTTTGCCGCTGATTTGGGTGAATAGAGTTGTATCGAGTTTGATTGTTTCCTTGCCACCTTCGCGATAAGCTTGTGCCGATGAATATTTCGTATCTCGCGGGAGAATTAAATTTCTTTGCTTTTTGTTTATTTAAAACCGTAATGCATGGTGTTGTTTGAGAAGTTGAGATTTTGTTGGGTTTTGGAAGGAAGATTTAATGAAATATCGTAACCGTGAAGGTTGCTATGGAAATGTTTGTTTTTTTGATGTGTTAAGATAGTCGATAGAGATAGTGAATCAGTCAGAGATAATGATTATGGCTGTGAATTGTAATCCGCGGTGTAGAGAACACATTGTAACCGATTCGACAATTATACCTGAACCGTTGTTATTGCCGTGTAATAAGATTATACTTGACGAGAAACCACGGACGAATGGAATCGCAGCGGGCGATACGTGACTGGTAGATCCTGCTGACAAGCCTTTCGCGTGTCGTCAGGATATTTGCGAACATTGTTATGTCCGATCAAGCGTGTCCAGCTGCCATCAACTGACGCTGCGCTCTAATTGAACGAAAAAACAATTGCTCGCCTTCGTCGGACGTTATAAATAACATCGAAGATAAAACGAATGGCAGCCACGCAAGGAACAGGTTCCGAGATTTTAAAATCTCTGATACGAAATCGTATCACTAAAAATGTTGAGAATTATGATCGTTAAACTAAGAAAACAGTATAATCATTAAAATAATGAATGTTTAAAAGATCTGCATTCTACTAATTACATTTTAGATAACGTAAGTTGAAAACATATTTAGTTACCCTATAAAGAAGACCAACGTGTCAACAATACTAGAAAAATATTATTAGCCCTCCGCATCGTGTACCGCGTGCATCAGTATGATTCACCTTTGACCCAGAACTGAACCTTAACATTCCCAACGAACCGTTGAACGTAACAAAGTTAATTAAAAGGCTGTGGAAATTTTCCATGAAATTGACTGTACGTTGGAAACATCGAACGCTACTCGTTAATTCCGTCCCATAAAATTCTCAGTCCGCTAGTCAATCCTCTATCCCCTGATTCTAGCCTTCGCCATTGCCTCGAACCAAATCCGAGCCGGCGGCGGCTTGCGTGAGACAGGCCGACCGCAAGGGGTTAAAACCGGCGAGATCGATGTCAAAGAAGGAAACCCGTTACAGCGTAGAAAGGAAGTCGATGAAGTGCAACAGACTCGTAGAACACGAGTAAGAAGACGCGAGGCGGCCGGTAGTGGGAGTACCGGAGCCAGCCGCGAAGAAAAGCCTGGCTAGGTGAAGGGCGGAGGGAGGAGAGTGGGAGAGAGAAGAAAGAAGACGTCGGGAAAGGGGAAGAACAAATTCATCGGGCCAGCCGTATGCGAACCGAACGAACTCGACACGGATCGCAACGCGTTAAGCTAGGTGTCCATTTGAGAGTAAACCTATCGTGAATTGCTTCCTACAGCATCTCTCGCGACTGCACATCGTATTCGAAGCGAGCATTCTCAAAAATTCTCGCAATACAAACGAAGTTGAGATTTCAAGAGTAATCTATCGTTCTTAGATTTCTTCGAATTAAAACTTCTCACAGTTGCTCTCAAAAGAATGCACACTTTGGGAATACCCATTGTTGCGTCGAAACTCTCAAACAGACACCTAAGTTTAGGGTACTTGACTATTGACGAAACTATCTATATTTACAAGTGAACGCTGCTGTAAAAGTAATGAATTCGACAATGCTCTCGAACGGTCATCCTCAACGCACTATCCTTTTCTAGAGTATCCTCCTGGGAGCGTCTCACGATAGTCCTACTCTGAAATGGACACTTAGCTTTAGATCGGACGCTCTTACGAACAAGATCGAGTCATCTTGTTCATAGCGTGGGGTTCATCTCGCGGCGGCGGCATCTCTGGTCCCCGTGTATGATTCATCCCACTTGATCCAGGTTGCCAGCCCGCTGGAAGAGATTCCCATGATTTCCGCGAGCTCGGGGAACCGCGGGGATCTCGGGACCGAGGCCCTCTTCCGCCGCGAGGACCGCGCTTTCGCATGCGAGCCGCGCACGCTGACGCATCGACGAGGATTCCCTCGATCCTCGGCCGTGATTAGGCCGAGTCACGCGTGGCAATGATCCGATTATGGTAACCGCAGCGATCTTATCGTAGCTGTTGTCCTTCGTTATTATCAGAAATTCACGTGGTTGTTGCACGCGGACGTGCCAACGGCCGACGTGAGGTCTCGCCGGCTTTCTCGAGCTGTTCTCTTTCTCGGGAAATTAAGGAGCTCGCATGTAGGCAGATTGCACGACTATTGTTCATATATGAGGATCGGGGGACAGGTTGAAGGCAACGGCCTTCTCTGAATGATGTTTGATCTCGAGATGCGTTGTATTTGTAAGAACTCTTGAGAAAGAGGACATTTGCCACGGGTTTTGCATGCAAATTGAACGTCATCGCCGGCCGGTGGATGGTTTAAATTCGAGTTAGAGGACATCTAGATAAGAAGAACTGCATGTTCACAGACCCGCGTTGCTGATTGTCGCTTCTACATGAAATAAACCAGATTCACCGAAACTCTTTATTATTCTCGATTGATAATTATCGAGAAACACTAACCTCCTTTACAACTACGTCCATTTAGCGGTGATCTTCGGATCGTCTCCTTCAGCCGGTTTCTACTACCTCACCCCAACACTTACGGCAAGACGATATCTAGAGTACGACTAAACACACGCTAGAACTAATAAGTCCATTGTTAGAAACACGTTCATACAGCTCAACTAATTTGCCTCTTATTCTCATTACAGATACGCGATCGTGTGGTTGCTGTCTGTCACGTCGCTGCGCTGTCAGGTAAGGATGCCGAGATAAAAGAGTCTTTGACATTGATATTCCGCGAGTATCCTTATCAGATTGAGCAATGGTGTTGCGCATGTTTTGAAGGCAACGAATCACGAGAACGCGGAGGGCGACGGGAACGGCGAAGACTCGGTGCTCGACGAAACGACCGAGGACTATTGGGCCGGAAGCGGATCCGGGCCCGAAGACGACGAGTCGCTGCACAACGAGACTAGAGAGGCGTTAACGCACGAGGCCAGCGATCACGACGCGGTAAGTATCGTCCAGTGATTACCGGAATCGTTCCTGGCAACACCTACGACCAATCGAACTCCCATGAACAACCCGTTACTCATGTTACACAGCTATTGTTCGAACCGCGGTCAGCCATCCCCGCGATGAAGCCCGAAAGATCCCGGCGCGGATAAAAAGACCGATTTCCTACAAGCGTTCCGCGTAACCGCTGCATCATCGATTCGTTCGCGCGACCACGGGGAAAAGTGAAAGATCGGGGCGTGGAATCGATCGGCCGTCCGCGATACGTCCGATCGTTCGGCAACGCTCAATGAGCCGACGCGATTAGCGGGGATCCGTTAATTGTTCGGGGGATATACTCGTAGACGTTCCGATCGGAGCTGCGCCGGCGTCGAATAAATTAAAAACATCCGGATTAAACGGACCACGAGTAACCGGCGTCCAGTAGCTCTCAAATCCCGCGTTCTGGAGAAAGGAAATAATAAGCGCCCTCCGCGTTAACGCGGCGAATAAAGTCGAGCAGCGATTCGTTTCATTAACGTTTCGCTACGGATTCCGAGTGAATCAGCGGTCTCGTAAAACTGTATGAAATTACTGCCGCTCGGTTTTAGATAACTATATATTAATGAAATCTGCTCTCTGGTTATCACGAATTACCGTAACCACCTCCTCCGTCCATCCGTCCATCCATCCGCTTCCAAGTACCCCCGTGTCCGCGGCACTAAACCGACCGAGGCAAATAAGAAACGCGAGGCCCCGGGGGAAACGATGATTATAAATACCGACGGAATGCTGTCCCCGGCGATCACGCGGAATTACAAGGGACAGTTTTTACCGGGAACTTCGGGAGAGCTGTTTAAACGCCCCGGCGGCATTCTTCGGAGCGCGTTAAACGGGTTGAATTGGATCGAATTAAACCAGTTGCAGTCGGAGAGCAGGTGTAGGTCAGGGACAAGCCCGGCGGAGCGCGACCCGCGGGCTGGCGATAGGTACGTTCAACCCGCGCTGCACGACCGACCGACCGACCGACCGTAGCCGGACTAATGACTTTCGACACCCTAACCGCGCGACCGTTAATCATCGCATGAGCGCGCGTGTCATGTCGAGACACGGAGAAGCCTCGAAGGCTACGGGCCCGCGATCGTCTTCGGAGAGGAACGGGCCGTCCGCGGACGTCGGTTCCCGTTTAAGCTGACGCGTGGCGGCTCCAGACGATGACAACGCGCGTTAGGGGCGACATTCCCGCGATTCGCGCTCGGAAAACACGACGGGATCGCTGTAGGATAATGGCCGACTACATTAGACACAGTCTCTGAAACGTTCCCTCTTCGTGCGACATGAATGCCGGCCTGTTACTGTGAATAGAAGCTGTAAAGTGTAGCTAAATGGTAGAATACAATTACAACTTTTAACAGCTCAACGTTATCGTGTGCTGTATTAACATGTAGGAAGGTGTTAGAAACATTTTGGTAAAATAATTTGGAAGCTGTTGTTTTTCTTTGTGTAAGGATGCGTTGACACGTTGACTGCCGCGAAAAACATCAGTGGCTTATGTATCACTTCCTTTGTAGAATAGAAAATGGTACAATTAATTATTACGTTACACTGTTACCTAGTTATTCGCAATATTGAATATTTTGATTCAACGCCCGTTGTCTTATTAATTACATTTGCTCTCGAGTCATTTGGAAATTCCGGTCCACGGTGACCGTGGCAGTCAACGTGTTAACTTTGATATATCTGCGAATGTGCTTGTTCTGTATTTTTGTGTATAGAGAAAAATTGTGAGGTAGTAAGAGAGTTATTTAATACGTGCAAGGAGGGTACCTTTCGACGAGATACTTCCGTAATGACAGCGACTCGACAGTTCTCCGGGAACTTCAAATTATCGACCAAACGAGAGTGTGCGGAATGAAGTTCGCGATCCGGGTGCGTTTCGCCCAGTGGAGAATCATCGTCCGGCGTAATCTCAATTACCGCTGAAAGGCCCAAAGAGGGAAGGAAACGGCCGGTTTTCATGGAAACGGCCGATTCCCCGAGCCGAATCCTCTTCCGCGACCGGGCTCTCGAGCATTCCGAGCTTGGAGAAGCGCGCCTGAAAACGATAGGTACTTCCGAAGAAGCCTCCGCGGTCGGTCGCCCATAAAGCGCAGAGACAGTGAGTGTACAGCGAAAGAACGATCCTCTAACTACTCTAGTGGCCCGTAAACGCTCGCTGCTCATGCCACGTCGGCGTCGGTTCCTCGGGACTTCGCGCGCTCGAGTTCTAGAAATTCCTGAAAAGTGGAATCCGTGAAAAGCAATAATCCCGAGCAAATAGAAATGGCTGCCGTGGACGTGACAGACCGCGTTCGCGAACGCCGTGCTAGGGAACGAACGAAGATTCGTCGGAAGATTGGCGAGAACAGACTGTTCAGACGACGTGGAATCCGTCTCGGGAAGGGACAAACGGAACGGAGGGAGGAACGAGGCAAAAAGGGGTAAAGGACGGGCGAAGATGAGCGTGTAACAACACGATTGTTTCTACGGGTGCCAGCATGTGCAGCCTGTTTGCGGACTTTTTAGTCCTCGGCGCCGTTTACCGGCGACCACGCGCCAGATTCGCTCGGAGGGACGCTTACGGACATCGTGCCAGGATATTCGAGAAATTGTACGCCGGTTATCGCGTGTTCCGCGAGTTGACTCTCTTTCGTTCGTGATCTTCTGATAAATTGGGATTCGTATGGATACGTTGTACGAACGAGTGAGTTATAGATGAAGGTTGGATTTATTTTGAAGGAGATATAAATAGTACGGAATTGGGCAATTTTTGTGTACCGATAACGGAGAGCAGAAATATAATTTGAGAGGTCTCTATCATTTCGAGATTCTTAGTTCTGCCGAAGAAATTGCTTACTCAGAGATCAGAGGTGTAGGAGATGTAGATAATGATTGTTGTTGATTAAAGGGAAGGGAGTACGTAGAGGATGAAATGAAGTTCCGATGAAGATGTAGATAAATTTGTATACACTCACGATGTTATTATTAAGTTAAGTTGTATTTTGCGTGTAGGTGGTTTATGTCGGCGAGGGTGCGGCGTACGTACCGGTTCCTTCATTGAAAGGACGACCTCTCAGCCCCAACCTCCAGGCACTTCAGACACTTCAGGGTCTGCAAGGTCTCGCTGGAGGCGGTGGGACGGGCGTGGTCGGTGACGAAGAGTGGAAAAGGCATCCTGAGACCTGGGACCGTGAGCACAGGAGGTACAGACCCAACACGACGCGTGTGCAACGTAAGTCAACCATTCAGTGATTAAAGGGGCGTCGTGGAATTTAAGAAGTTAGGATTTTCGAATCTTCAAATATTTGAATTTCCAAATTTTCAAATATCTGAATTTTCTAATCTTCGAATCATGAAATTTTCTAAATATTGAATCGTGAAATTTTCTAAATTTTGAATCATGAAATTTTCAAATATTCAAGTGAAACACTTTCCAATCCTCGTAGCTTCAATCATTTAAAGTTTCAACTTTCCAAGTCCTAAACGTAGAAAGCCCATAATTTGCCGAACTTAAAAATTCCGATGTCCTTGTACCCATCGCCACCAATAAGATAAAAGAGCAGCAACGCGGTATCCTCATAACTCCACGGTATCTGCTTTCACCCTCGTGCACCGTTATCGTACATACCCGTCATTATTACTGTTTCTGTGGCTCACGAGCACAGGACTCGCCCCGAGCCAGAAACGATCGAGGCCTGCTGATCGATCGACGCGGGAGAATCGATTCGAGCGTCGCTGGTCGTCAGCGTCCCGACACTCCGGGATCCAGAACGCGATGGCGAATAGCTACCGTTAGAGTGGACGCAATTAAAACGGTGTTGGGGAATCGTACGGCACTCCTGACATCGAGAATACACCTTCGACGCTGCATCGTCTTCGTCCTCTCATCGGACGTCGACGCCTCCCGACCATTCGATCGCCATTATCTGCTCCTAGATCACGCCGATCGGAGCGTACCTTTCCTCCGATGACCCCTGCTCGCTGCAATTCCTCAAATTACGCGGATACCGCAGATTTTTCCGATCGAATCGGGCTGGGTATTCGTTACTCGCTTCCAAGAAGTATTCACCAGTGAGACCACGATCGAATAGATAATGAAAAATTCAAAAACTAACGACGGTATCCGATGAAGGTGTAATTTTCTTGAAAGTCTCAAAGCTGCGGCAACCGAGAAATATTCGAATAACACGAACGCGAAGCGAATAATGGAGGATTTAATAATCCAGGCTGTCCCGGTGCAACAAGACTACGCCACCTCTCGTGCTATCGCTCACGCGCGTCCTCGACTCGCTGTCCAAAACATTCGTCCACGTCCGTGTTCACCGATGATGAATTCCTCGGGCTCCACGTTCGTATCTCGAATGAAGTCGTAAAACCCATCTCTGCGGGAAACGCGAGCCCACCCGCGGTATCGTCAATTACGCGAAAGAAGGCCCATTAGGTTTAATGTATCCTCGTCTGGGCGCACGATTCTACGACCTCGAGCACCGACTTTATTTCGTTTCTTCTTCTTCCTCCTTCTCCTTCTGCCCCTCCTCTTCATCATCATCATCATCATCAACATCCTTCGCCAGTAACCGCCACCTACAGGAAGATCTCTTTTATTTCCCGCGAAATTAAAGGAACCCGGATCACGGAGGAACGTTCGGATCAAAGGATTCAGCTGAACGATGATCGCGGGAACTTCAGAGCACGCGAACAATTAACCAAATGATTGTTTAACGATGAACCGATCGCTGCTGTGAAACGTGTAACGGCTGGAAAAACTCGTGATTATACCGCGGCACAGTGGGTCGGGAGGCCAATCCAGGAGGAAAAAAGTCATAAATTATTTTACGTCTCTCGTACTTTAATTGAGCTATTATTTCAAAGATTTCTATAATCGCCTTACATAATTAAGACGGTCCAATATAATTTTATACATTACTTTTTGTAATGTCAGAGTAAAAACTTGATATAAACAAATATATGTGCGGAATACATAATTGTTACTTCGAAAAGTAAATGATAAGTATTCAATTAATTATTATGCGTGTCATTAGTATCAATAAACATTCTAAAACAGGAATATACAGAGGATATATTTCATTGGCTTTTTTCCACCTAGATTGGCCGCCCGGCCCACTGTGCGCCGGCGCGGTGATTGCAGCCGAATGACCAGCGCCGATTCAAATACATTCGTTCCATTTTATCCGGCGCAGTCTTCCGACTGACAGGAAGTAATGGGATTTAAATGGGGTCTCGGGGATTTCGCTCGATCGTTTATATTCTTTGTTCCATCGCGGCCGTCGCGTTCTTCTTGTATCCGGAGACGCGGCTGGAAACGCCGCGGCTGGTAACAGGGCTACCATTTTCTCGGTGCGAGGGTATCCATCAATGTTTCACACCTTGATATTAACTCTAACGCGTTGTGTACATCGTTAAAGATCCTTCCACGACGCTCTTAAGTGACGGATAAAGGTTGCTCGCATCGTTCACGCTCAAGTTTCTTATTATAAACTGGAAGCAACAGCGACGGCCGTCACGAAACGTGTATTTTATCATTCACTTCCGTTTGCAATCCTTTTCTCGCGGTCGTATAAACCCCGACAGGATAGTAGAGACAATTAGGAAGTGTGCAATTCTAATTAATAAGATGATGCGAATAATTTGAAAAACTATTTTCTCATTAGTTCTGGTAATAAAGTCACTTTAAAGATACTCCGCACAATGGAAGGTTTATAGGTTCTCTACGGTTTAATATCCTTTTAAACACGATTGACCTGTGATCAATGTGATTAACATCCTTTCAATGAATTCTCCAAGAAGTCAAATTCCTTGCTTTCAGGAGTACAGTCGAATATAGCTTTGACAATATTAATAAGACTGATACGAAAAGTCTTCGACAATAATGATATCACTTTAAATCTACAGTCCAGTGACTTTCTATTCATCCAACGTGAAGCATTCTGTAGTCATGAAGCTAACGGTAGCGATTCTTCATGGGAGGCGGGCGACGGACGAAATCGCGAGTGAAAAACGTAGCCGGCAAGCCGAAATACTCGCCGGCGCGTATATACTCGAGCGAGTATCGGTGTTGCGCAACCGTCTCCATTGTTTACGCTCGGACGTTTTGCCGGCCGATGAACACAAAGCACGTATCCGCAATTCTAATCAGCGCGCGTGCATACCTCGCCCCGCTCGAAAACGCGTGCGTACGCGTGCACCGGCGAACGCACACCGCATTGCCGCCCCCGGGACGAAATGTTGTATCATCGGGGCGCACCTCGACTGTGACTATCGGCAGCCTCCATCTTCCGCCGTCCATCTTCCACACTCCCGGCTGGATTACGTCGTTTTGCGATGGAAACGGCTCCTTACCACGAAGAGCGCCTATACCGGGCCTCGGTGGTTTACTTTCACTCGTGATCGGCGACCGGTTTTCCGCCGCTTTCCACCCACCGGATGCACGATTTTCCGAGCATTTCAACACCGGGCCGCACCGCTTCGAATCTGTTCCACTGCTTTCAGATCCGTCGTGATAGGTCGCTTGTTTTGTTGGATCATTTATGAAAGCCGGAGGTATTGATGATCTTCCAGCTGTCCGATGAAGATTAGCGGACGCTAAACTTTGAAAGATTAAAGCGTTAGGAGGAGGGTTTAATACTTGGAATACTAGATCGGGTCAATGGACAATCTTCGTGGAACTTAGAATATACCAGAAATCAAAATAATAGTTTCATTAGATTAACACGCCTGTTAATCAAATTAATGTATCCGTAACCCTCGTTCCTTAGAACCTTCCCAAGCGATACGGAAAAGGATGAAATTCTGTAAAAATTCCCGTTATATTCTTAACACTTCGACTAACAAGTAAACATGCGTCAAAATGTCTACGTAGTCGAAACAGTTTTCTTAATAAAGCAGAAATTGAAAAGTCAGTATTCTTTATAACCATTGCTCTAGTATCTTCCTTGTATCTCACATCCAACAATATTCGGTTCCCTCGATACGCGACCGAGAAATTTAATGTTTACACAAAAACTAGCGTCACCCGAATCTGGGTGACACGGCAATTAGAATGTTAGAGACCTGTACAAACTACGTAATGATCAACAACCTATTAATAACCTAAACATCGAAATTCTGTTGCAGACATCGAGGCTGAGTGTCAGGACGACTACATGAAGATCAGGATCGGCTTCAACGGTTCCTTCACCGGTCTACTGTACTCGGCAGGTAAAAGGGCTCCAGGTTGTTTAGAAAAGGGCGAGGGTCGCCGACGCGACCCGCGAAACGAGAATCGCGACGAGGATCTGCGGACGTGACGCATTAAAGTCGATCGAACGGGCCGCGGCCGTCACGTTCCGAACCCTGCGACCGCGACGCGAAGCGTATCCGCAATTATCCACGCGTACGGGTACAAACCCGATTGATGCCGTCGGTGACGCGCTCTAACGGCGGAAGTTATCGTGGCGAGACCATCGCGTCTGCGGCGAATTTTCCTTTTTCCTCCTCTTTCTCGTCTTTTTCCATTCAGCCCGCCACGCCAGGACGGTCGGACGGCGGGCTTCCGTTATTTTGAAAGGAGCCTGAACGCGTTGCGTCCCTGCACGCGATGCGCCTGGAAATAGCACGTCCTTGTTGACCATCGTCGTGACTCCATTTTCCTCTGTGCGTGATTTAAAGCCGAACAAACCGTTCGTGTTCTCGTCACGCGCTTCTTTTCACCTTTCCGCCGTGTACGCCGGCTGATGAAAAGGTTCGAGACTCTGTAATCGATAGTCGAAACGTTTAAAAAACGTAAGAAAGATTTAATTGACGCAGGCCTAGAAATCAGCCCTTTCGATGAAGAGTATAAATATTTGATTTTCCTTTACTACCGATAATCGATACCCCGAGATTCTGATAGCGGATTAATACCATCGATTATATGAGCGCGTGCGGTCCAGATGTTGATATGATCGATCGAACCGATTAGTTTCGGAGTGTAAGTTAATTAAGGATTTTTTCACGTCCACCGGCGTGTATTATACGTTTTCAGAGCTTTCAGGCGTATCGCTGATTGGCCTGTGTAATTGGAACGGGTGGAAGAGGAGGGTCGTGATTTAATCGGAGATTATTAAGATGGTTTAGAGAACGAATCGGTATCTGGGACCGTTCTCATGAATTTATATTGATCTTATTATCGGTGCTTTGAGAGATGTTTGCTAACGTATGCCATAAATTTCGTCGTAATAGATAAATGAGAAAATTGAGTAGCGCGCTATTAGATCGGCCTGGAAAATCTCATGCGACCTCTAATGGTCATAATATATTGTGTCTTGATTTGTGGACGCTTGTCGATCCGTGAATGATTCTTTCAATTAAGACTGATTAATAACAAAATATATCTTATGAAGTCAAATAACATAAATGTCGCGTCGCGTGTAAATGGAAATAATTGTACAGCTCGTAGACACTTATAAATACCTGCTGCCATTCACTTCTCGTTGCACGGAGTTGGGTCACCTACGTGGAAGAAATATCGATATCGGCTATTTCAGGAACCAATATCCGAAAAAACACGAATCGCCTTTTGCTCTGAATTGGTAGAATGGGAAATGTCAGCGGAGATTGGAGCTCAATTGAGGACTGTCGATTCTAATTACAGGCTACTCCTACGATCCGGATTGTATGTACGTTAACGGGACGGGCCGCGATTACTACGAGTTCTACATTCAGCTGAATCGGTGCGGCACCCTCGGCGAGAACACTCATCATCAGGACAGCAGAAAGAATCCTACGGTACGTAAAACAGACGCGCGTTACGTGGAATACGGTGCCGCGGTTCGTTACGATCGCAGCGTGAGTACCGACTCGCGTTTGACAAGGAATAATAATGATTAACATTCCGCGGAAAAATCGGAATCCCGCCGCCCCTCCCCGTGACCGATCGTCGTCGAGCTCTTATTTCGCGATCGTCCTTCCCGGACGTTTAACGATCGACCGTGTCTCGCTGCTAGCCGTATTAATCCACGCGATCGCGTCGGCTTAAATCATAAAGCAGAGCGGTCGATGTTAATAATTCTGTTACGTTCTGCTTATATGATTTATTAAACGCGCGCGAACGTTCCCCTGATTTATACCGGCACGCCGTGGTGTGTTTGTTTGCCGTGAGACGCAATTAATCGAAACCGCGAGAGGGCGCTGGTCTGTTTTAATAGCGACGGTATGCTCCTTTTGGTCCTTACCCGCTGATTCGCGATTTACGAGGGCGTGCGCCACGTTTCAGAAAAACCTGATGTGGAACACCGTCACGGTTCAGTACAACCCGCTGATAGAAGAGGAATTCGATGAACACTTCAAAGTCACTTGCGAGTACGGCTACGATTTCTGGAAGACCGTCACTTTTCCCTTCCTCGACGTCGAGTAAGTTTGACAATCGATCATTGTCCGTGGGATGAGAATTTGGCGAAGGTGTAATTTGACTTTTATCCGTCGACAAAGGATTCGAAATGAATTACCAACAGCGAAGCGGTTTACTCTTATCCGGCAAAGCTGAGTTCAGCTTAGAAATATAATAAAGTATCTAATTTGCGTGGCCTACTTCGGTAATTGACGCGCTACATACGAAACAGAAAAATGGCCATATTTCATTGATGCAACAGCTGTAACGCGCAGTAATATAGATTACGAATAGTAACGACATTCCTGTGCGAGTAGGATAAAAGTTTCTGGGCGAATCTCGTTTTCACGGAAACGCATATGAAACCTACATTTGTATAAAGTTCCGCAATTTACTAATGACCGTAACATGTTCACCGAAGTATGGCTATAAGCTGAAAACCAACAATATCTAATCTCGCCTGTAAAGAGGAGACTGGAGAAACGTAAAATGCATTCTCTGCCATTAATTCGTTACGCGCGTTATACGCCAGTACATTAGGCCGGCTGATGAGTACATGTTAATCCACTCAGTGAAGCGAATTAAGCCATCGGATAAGCATTTTTCGCGGCCGATTTCGGGGCAACGGGAGTCGTCGTCCTAGTGCCGGATAACGGGTAGCCGGGTTCTCCCAGGAGCCTAACGCGAGGTATCTTCTTCCAGAGTGGCGACGGGAAATCCCGTAGTGTTCACCCTGCAGCCACCGGAGTGCTACATGGAAATCAGATACGGTTACGGGACCACTGGAACTAGAGTGGCTGGACCAGTTCGTGTCGGCGATCCTCTGACTCTCATTATCTACATGCGCAGCAAATACGGTACGCGCGCATAACTGCACGCATTTTCGCGTCGCGCACCCTCCGCCCCTGCTCCCCGTGCTCATCCCGTAGATAAAACTTAATCGCGCGTCGCTGCGTAACATCTGCCCGGTGTTATTCGAAGGAGTAACGGGACGAGCGAGCCCGACATTTTCCCTTCGAGGATCTAATTTTAGACGGCACGGTGTGCTGTTATTGAGGATCGATGCGAACGGAGAGAACTTCCGCTTTCGACGTCGCTGCCGAAGGGGTTGTCATCCTTTTCCTTAAGCGACTGAACAGATAATATTCTATACGTGTACATTAAGTAACACGTCCAAGAGTTCACGCGGACCGTTAACACTACAATCACTGAATTATTTTACAATTGTTGAAAAGATAGCGGTTGCTTTTTTGCGAAATTAATGAAGAAATTATAGAATTAGAATTATAGAATTATAGAAAAATTTGGAAACTTCAATTTGACTGCTTGGTAGTTCCAGTGTTAAAGTGAAATTTTCCTTGCATTTGTCGGCTGTCATAATTAGTTGAAGTTTGAAAGGAATATTCTGTTCGTCAGATGGTTTCGACATCGTCGTGAACGATTGCTACGCCCACAACGGGGGCAACAAGCGGATCCAGTTGATCGATCAGTACGGCTGTCCCGTAGATGATAAATTGATCAGCCGATTCAGGGGTTCCTGGTCGGAAAGTGGCTTATTCGAGACCCAAGTGTTCGCCTATATGAAAACGTTCAGGTTCACGGGTTCGCCGGCCTTGTACATCGAGTGCGACGTCAGGATGTGTCACGGTAGATGTCCGGTAAGCACTCGATACAATTGCTCGTTGAGTTGGCGCGGTTCCGAATGGCCGCGGTTACCCGAACTTTTAACACCTGTTGCAAACTACGATTGTGCAGAGCCAACCGTGCCACTGGAGGAACGCCAAGAACGTGGCCAAACGTTCTCTACCGGAAATCGGCGGCCCATCGACACCTGCGACTAGTTTGTCAGAGAACGTGAACCTTTTCCAATCGTTGCGTGTCCTGCAGGAAGGCGAGGCCGACACCGAATTCTTCCAGAATTCGACCACGGCTTTCCGAAACGGTAATTTCATTCATTCATTCGATTCTCAATTGAAAATATAAAATTATTGCTTATCGTCGGTTGTATGTATTGTTATGTTTGATGTACCCTTAGGGCCCAGCGAAACAACGAACGACAGAGTGTGCCTAAGATCAACGGTTCTCAGCACAATGATAGGGATTACCTGCGGTTTCCTCTGCATAATGGCAGGAACGATATTGGCCATGTGTTCGCGAATGCGGCGACAGGCCAGGGAGAAGCTGTTGTCCGACAGCATAAGTTACATGACCCATAAGGGTAGAATTAACTAAGCGCGGCCTCTCTCAATGTACTTGCGAACCTTTTCTACTTCCTCTTTCTTAATCGTTCTGTCGGTATATGTATACCCACGGGACGATCGGAGAAAGTCCGTGTCGATAATGCGAGGACAATCTATTGCAACGATGTGATCGGTAAAGTTGACACCGACAATGAGTCGGTAAAATCGAAAAGACGACAGTGTCGACGGCTGGTAAGGAAGAATATGTCGAAGTTCTTCGTCGGAACTTCAAATTTGATATATTTGAATCGAGGATAATTTAGGCGAATAATTAAGGCATAATGAAAAACGAGTATTGTCAAATATTGTGATAACCGTGCAATTAGACGTATGTCTCTATTTTTCGAAAGTGATTTACTGTCGGCAAAGTGACAACGCAAGGGAAATCGTTACCGATTGAACTCGCTCATCCTTCTCTCGACAACGCTTTCTCCCTACTATCTGTCTTCTTCCGCCTCTCCGAAACGCGGGGAGGTCTTCTCGTTTATCGCGCGTACAAGCGACTTGCCGTCCGTCGATGATAACGATTAAAGACGAATTTAGAAGTCGAGGATTTTGCCACGACCTGTTTATCGAACGCCCGAGCAAAAAAAAGATTATCGCGAAAAGTAGTGAAATAGATGACAAAATATATAGTGCAAGGATCATGTAACTGTATCAAGCATATTTTTTTTTCGCTCGTACGGTCGTCGTTACAGGAGATTAAAATAAATACCTAGATAAACAGGCGCATTATGCCGATGATGAGATTCAGTAGTATAAGTATGCCCAATCACATTACTCGCCATATTCAGGAACGTAAAAATGAATGATGTCCCGCGTTGCAGCTGAACAAACAAGAAACATTAATGGAATTCTGCATGACGGTCTTCATTAATTACAGCGGAAATTAATAATGAATCGGTTCATTAAACGTCGGATGCCTGAATGTCGGAAACGAATTTATGAACGGCAATTACGCTTTCTTTGAGTACATAAGTAACATTTAATTATAGGAAGTTTTCAAACGAATGGCTGCACCGTCGGGATGAAACGGAGACTCGACTGATGAACGCGTTTCATGCTCGCGGTTCCTGAATGTTCGCGACTAATAACATTAACGTATGATTTATACATTACGCTATATAACAAACAGCCACAATATCTAGGTTTATACTATAATATGCATACGGTATATACAGCGTCCAACTGTGTCTTGATTTCCTTCAATATTTTTTATTC